TGCGTTGCCGACCCAGGAATGCTGCGGAACCATTTGGAGAGGCCAGGCGGAGCAAGTGGTGCGCATCAGGACGTATTGGCTTATGCGCGGGCGCGGAGGCTTCGGTGGTGGGGGATATGGGAGGGGGGTGTTGGTTGCGGGAGTGATGCGTGAGGGCATGTCTGTTGTGTCTTGGGGTGGCTTGGGGTATTCTGTGTTCTTATTGAGATTGAGATAATGTTTGCTCTAGTTGATGGAATGAATTCTTAGGGTATATTGGAGATCACGAAACATCTTCACGAGACACATGCATGTGGCCCGTAGATTCACATACCAGCGTGATATTCTGCCAGCTCAACCCAGTACAACCTCTCGTGCTGTACCCCATTCTTCATCTCCTTCCCAGCCAGGACACCGAAATGAAATACTGGCTCACCGTTACAAGCCGGCCCACCATTCACTAGCTTATAGGTTCCCGGCGTGATGGTAGCTATCGTAGCTGAGATGTCGCCGGCAGCACGCATAGAGTCTCGGAGTTGAAGCATCCGCAGTCGGAGGAAACTGGCCGATGGAAGCTCGTGTGCCCACACGCCGAGTGGCTCACCCTGCCAGGGAGGGGAGGATGAAGAGGGGAATGGGGAGGGTGGCATGGGGCGAACTAGTGTCATCAGGACTAATGCTTTGGGTCTGAGGTCGGTAGACATTGTGTACACCTCGGTCGCCATCGGGTCCAAGATTTGGCCAACGTAAAGTGGAAGTTGATAGACACATCGTATTGATAAACCGATGCCAATTAGTTGCCATTTTAAAGCTTGCTGAGCTGCCGTGACTAGGTCATGAGGCGTGTGCCAACACGCATGTCGTTGCCTATAAGTTGCTTTGTCGGCAGCGCAATTCTTTCCCGACAAGTATCTTTTTCCGTCGAACATGGCAGCGAATTCGGCAGATAACCCATACAGTGTCGTCCTCAAGAGCGCCCATTATCCCCTGAGCACGCCCGTTCCACGAAAATGGGTGGGTAACACGGTCTACACCTACTCTGGAAGTGATGCAGTCCTGGAACTCCCTCGTTTACATGCTGCGATGGACAACTTGTACGATAAGATGGAGCCGGGGAAGAACCGTCGGCGATTTCAGATAGAAGATGCAGAGGACGCTGCCTTCATGTTGGCGGCTGGCGGGCCCGCTGTGGTATGTGCTATATGCGGTCGGTTCAAAGAGGGCGAGGCGGGCAAGGCGGGCAGAGCCGTCAATCGGTTGTATTGGATCGAGCGAGTCGAGGTCGTCCAAAGTTCTGACGGTGGCATACCCGCAGCGCAAGCGGCTTCTTAAAATTTCGATTGATTCGTCGCGTGGCATTCAGTCAGAGTCTTGTGATTTCAGCTTCACTGCGAATGTCTGCTCTCCAAAGACATTCCTGAACGCGGCTATCCGCTTCTTGGTCATCCAAACTGTTAGCACGGGTATTTTCCTCCTCTTCATCGTGTTGTTCTCATTTGACATTCCATCTTTCTTCTGTGTGCTCGGTGCCTTTTCGAAGTCTGCGTCGCCCTTGTCCGTGGACCTTGAAGTTTTGGTTTCTCTGTCAACCTCGACGCTCGTGAGCATTGTATACATCCACCAAGCTTCGTCTTTCCCGTGTTCATCGCCCTCTCCACCACTCGGCGCTACGATGCGCCGAACCATATCGACTATGCCTACTAACTTGGTAGTGCCCTCGCCCTGAGCAGAAACGGCTATGATCGCATCGTCCTCTTTCAAAGCATCCGGCATCTCAATCGTAGACGCTGGGTCTTTGTACGCGCCCAGGTATGTCTTGAGCCTGTTGATACCGGATTTGATGTTCTGATTCTTCGAGAAGACGACGGGTACGATGTTCTGTGTGGCTCGCATGCGCTTCTGGGTTTCGAGGAGCTTGCGTAGCTCGGTAGGCAGCCGTGTCCATGGCTCGTAGAGGGAGGGATGGATTGTGGGAGGAGATGGTGGTTGCGATGGCTTCTTTGAGGCTGTTCCACTAATCTTGTCTTGCGCCTTTCTCTTCTTGCCAGCTGTCGGTGCGTCCTCGGGTGCCCCAATGATGGGAAGGGTAGGTCCTTCGCTCGAGTACGGCGGGCTCGCGGTCACCGTCGTGGTGTTGGCGTCTTTTTCTGCCGACGATGCGAACATCTCACTCATGCGCTTTGCATTACCCATGTTTAGCAGCGAGAGGCGCGCAACAGTCGAGGGCTGTGCAGTCAACGCACGACTGCGATGACGAAAATTGGACGCGCCAAAAATCTCGAGACGCGCCGCCGGAGATACCAGACTGCGCTAGCTTATCGCCGGCTGTGCCGCCCATCTCGCTCGACCATCTGATCTTTCAGCACACACATACAATAATCTTTGTCACCGCGACTTTATATTGGAAAACATCAGAGAAGCATTCTCTCTCTTTGTGATCAGTACATCATGGACGACGATGTAGCTGAAAATTTGGGTCGCTTGAGCCTCGCTACACATAGCCATCGTCAAACCGATACAGTGTATGTAAGCCGTGCTAAGCTGTATAGATATCAGGCTTACGATGGAAAGTGATCAGAATGCCCCTTACACACCGCCATTTCTTCGTTTGCCAGCCGAGATTCGAGTCATGATTTACGAGCATGCCTTTACCAACGAGACTATCCATGTACAACCGAAATCCACTGATTTACTTGGAGGTACATATCTCCTTCAACGTAACGGAATTCCAAGACACCAGCAGATCATCTCTCTTCTGATGACTTGTAGACATATCAGAGAAGAAGCGACACCTACCTTCAATGAGCTGGTCACCTTTGACCTGACACTCTACTACAACTGCATGGCGGCCGCCTACGAACTGGGACCAGATATCTGTCAAGCAATCAGAGCAATCAAAGTAGAACCGAGGCTTGCAAAACGCTTAGCGATAGGACTCCAACAGGGTGCCCCCTCTGCCACTAATTATAGGCATCTGTTGCCTTCCCTACAGCGGGTGCATATCCAACAGACTTCTATATTTGGGCTACTCAGTATGAGCCCTGACTTGGCTGTGAGAGCTCTGCGATTGTATTTTGGAAGTAATGATCTTGAGGTTATATTCAGTAAGAGGTGAGCTCCTCTGCACGAGCAAACGGAGCGATGGACCCTGGATATTGAGAGCAGCGCTCACCGCCCTTGCGCAGCTTCACCTACTCACACAACCCGTGCCAGGACTGAAATTTGGGCGTCCTCTCCGTCTTAATCATGAATCTCACTCAGTCGCAGAGCATTGCCGAGCGGCTACGCGAGCGCAAGTAAGGACGAACCCAAGGTCTTCATTGATTTGAGCTAACAATATCCCAGAACGCAATCAAATCAACGCGAATCCCGGTTTCTTCGTCTTCCCGCCGAGCTCCGCGACAAAATCTACAAGCATGTATTTTCGGGACAAACTGTCGGTGTCTTTGCAAGTCAAATCCGGCAAGCTACGCGGAAACGCAAGCAGATATACAGGCGACATGATTTAGGCGTGTTCGCTCTGCTCTTGGTGTGCCGACAGATCCGGCACGAGGGATCGCCTCTGTTGTATGGCCTGGCCAGATTCGATTTCACCTCGTTCAATAACAGCCGTGGTTCACGCAACTGCATAACCAATGTGTCCTTGGTCATGGGCCCCGCCAACTTTGGGCTCGTTCGATCAGCCAAATTGGGCATAGCAACGGTGCATAATATCCGCAGACTCATCGATTCCGGCTATGTGGACAATCGCGCGTCTTCTGTTCGAGATATTGAACTGCCGAAAGTCGAGCGTCACTGGATGAAGATTCGTAATGTCGACAGTGCCGAAGCCGAGCTTCTTGCCGCTATGCAACGTTGGACCGGTAACATGGACGTCGTCCTGCATTTCGTATAGAGACATACATCACTCAGTGAATGTCCACTGTCGGGAGTCACCGGCCCGGGCGCAAAATAGCGCAAATCTATCACGATATCGCAACCCTAGCCGTCAGCAAAACGGCTCTACTTCTCCTAGACATAGCCTCTCAATAGATACAACTCAAGATGACTTCCAGCCCGGCAGACCCGATGACGCAAAGCGCCATCGCCCAGGGCACCCCTCTGCATCGATCTGGCGCCGACAGGAGTAGGAGCACAGAGACGTAAGTTATTCGCCGCACTGAGCTATATGCTTCCACTGACAGCGCCCTAGCGTCCGGACCGTCCAGCAGCCCTTCCGTTTCCTCGACCTACCTCCGGAACTCCGACTCATAGTTTACGACTACGCCTTCGATGAGAAATGCGTATCCCCTACGCGCTCGCGCCGTCCGCAACCTCCAGTACACAGCCGTCACTTTCCAGGAGCCTTCAGCCTTCTATTTTCTTGCCATACGATACGCAACGAAGCAAGGGACTTCATCTACAAACACCGTACCTTTGACCTCCAATGTTATTATGACCTCCCAACAGCGCTTCAATATCTAGGGGCGGAAGTCTGCGGATCCATCACGGCTATCAGGATCGAGAAGATGGGTCTTCTCCGTCCAGGTCTCTATATTTGTGTCCCACCATGGAACGCCGATAACTACTCCCGGTTTATCAAGCGGTACTATCCGCGGCTACATGAGGCTCAACTGGTGACTTTACGATGGGGAAATGTGACGCGAACACTCCGGGAAGACGTTGCCGCCCAGCTCAGGGATGTCGAAACATTGCTTGCGGAATGTCGAATTACACTGAAATCAGGTCTACTCTAAGACTAGGGGTCAGATGCGATGCGCATCAGAGCTCGGCGCCATCGACGTGAGTTGCTCATGCGCACACGGCTTCCAGTCTTCAACGATATGCCGAGCACCTGTCAGCCAGCAGACGACATGGACGTATGAGTTCGGGGGAAATGTGAGTGTATAGACACCTGGCGAATACGTACCCGGTATATCATATTGGAAATGATGGGATAAGATGTCCAAGGATAGACGCCTTCTTAAAGGATGAACTTCGATGTACCCACTACCATACTCCCAACTTTCCCTCACATGCATTCAACTCCTCCGATAAATCGCCGCGTCAATCCCCACCGCATTTTTCATGACTTTCATCGTCCACTCACTAATCGGCTCGAAAGCCTTGACCGTGTCCCCCAACTGCTCACCCTCCCCAAATTCATGGATAGCCAGGAAAGACAACTCTTGCTTCTTCCCATCCTCGTCCGAAGAACCAGGTCCTTGCTCTATAAGCGAATACCGACATGTGCGCAGCCAACCTGATTGCTCAGACGTTTGCTGGTTATGCTCTTCGCGGTACCAAGCATCCAGATCCTCGGCGCCCGTGGGCGAGGGTTGCATGAGTGCTACCATGATAGTCGTCGCAGGTTCTACAACGTTGATAGTCAGCGACTGGCGCCTCTCATCTCTGTCTCTACTTGAGATATGGCGTGCAGACATACCACCAGTCTTCTTCGGGCCAAAGATCTGGACTTCAGAATACGCCCTGACATCCCACTCTCCACCCACATCCTCGCCTTCAATAAACTTCAACATCTGCTTTATATTCACACGTGCCAGGTCTTCTGTTTCGCAGACGAAGAGATGCTGTTTGTCGTATTCGGTATTTGCGGCTTTGTATTGCGTTGCTGATTTGATGCCGAGAACATTTCCTGTTATGGCCGTGGATAAAAGGGCGAGCTTGTCGTCCGGTTGTGCTTCGTTACCTCCGGCTGAGGTGGGTTTGAGAAAGGCGAGGAGAACGCCAGCGCCTGTGGTGGGGTCTGAAGGGGCCATGCTGAGCGCAGATATCTGAAACGATCTGGGGTGGGATTGTAGAGTAGGAGAACGTGATAATACGTCCGGAATGGAGAGGAAAAGGCATGTTTCGGGGTGGTGTATAGTAGATGCGGTTGCTATGTACACCATGTAGGGTAAGCGTATGCAGTGTCTCCACTTCCCGGATCAGATTACCCGTTGGCTACCTCTCGGCCTACTTAGTATGTGCACATGCACTACAACAAAACAATGTTTCGATGGGCAGACTTCTTTAACATCAAGTTCGCTGTTCTGTTCTATTCAAATACAATTACATATATACAAAGACATGCTTTCATCTACAACTTGCTCTTCTCAATGCGCTTGAACAAAACATCGCTATCCGGGTATGGGTCGACGGTGTAGTTGTTGAGCGGGTTGAGTTCGCTGGCCCTGTAAAACATGTCCTCGTAGACCTTGCCGTCTGCGCGGCCCAGACTGCTGTCCAAGACCCAGTCGTCAAAGCCCCAGGCATCCACAAGCCTGACAGCGTGTGGCCGGATTTCCTTGAGCAGGTTCATGACAGTGTTGGTCCTCGCGAGCGAAATCTGGTGCTTGCTGCATGCGCCGGAAGCGTAGAATTCGGAGCCCTCTTGCTCGAGTGTGTGCAGAGCGAAGAGACGGAACAGCTTCATCAGCACGTCGACAATGTTCTTGTCCACGTTGCCTGCCTTTGCGATGTTCCTGAGCGCAGACAGGTTGTTCTTTACGACCATGTACTGTGCGTGGGCCTTGCTGAGGCGGTAGAAGTCGACGAGCAGATCGTTCCAGGGCTTCTTCTGCTCATCGCGGTGTTTGCTGGCTTCGAAAGTAAGGAACGAAACGCGCCAAGCGAAGGCATTGACGAGATCGTCGTCGTCGCCAATGACGTCGAATGCGCAGCCAATGTCGCGGCGTGCATGGAATTGAGAAAGGATCTGAGTTGTGTCGTTCGTCGGCTTTTCTCCCTTGAGTACGGAACGAGCTGACTTGAGCATCTAGAACAAAGGTTAGTAAGGACTGATTGCAGTTACTCAAATGTAAGAGACTTACGTATCGCGCAACTTGCTGGGTCAACATGTAGTTGTCGCCCTCCCATGTGGTGGTGGGTAGGTAGTCAGAGTACCACGGCCCGATACCGCTGAAGCTTGAGTAGCCGTGACCACCACAGGCTCGTCGGCAGACCTCGAGACCCTCTGCTGCGATCGAACTGCTAAGCGACTTCAATGCGCATGAAGAAGCGTGCAGGTCTGCCAACATATCGCTGCCTGACTGCACCTCCTCTGGCCCAGCTCCGCGCTTGCTTGGTGCATTGGTAGCGTTGCCCTGGGCGATCCTCTTTTGGTTCTCTTGGTACATGTCCATCATCGACTTTCCGGTGAAATGTAAAGCAAAGGTAGCCGCGAGAAGAGGAAGCAACCGAATCTGCACCATAGTGTAGTTCAGAACAGCAGTCTCAGCCTCACCTGCGGGAGCATCTCGGTCCTGGAATTGCCGTCGCACAGCACAGTAACGGGTTGCGATAGTAACACCCCGAGCGAGCACACTACCAGCTTGCATGACGATAGTTGATCGAACCCAAGTAAGTGTTCCATAGACGAGGGAAGGCGCGCCACGGCGTCCAAACTTGTTCGTGTTGGGGTCAACGAATGTGTAACGAGCCAGCATGCTGATGTGGGGAATCTTGACGTGATTGAACAGAAGGAAACCGTTGTCCATGGTGTTGTAACCGAACTTGGGACCGATGTCTCCGATGTGAATGTTGTCGAGCGGCTCGTGTGTCTTCAGGTCACGGATCTGGACGCAGAATGGACTCGGCCCGTATGATTTGCCATCAATGATGAGCTGAGCCATGACGACGGCGTGGTTAGCTGTGCGACCTAGGGATCCAATCCACCATTTGCTGGCGGTCAGATGTGGGGAGTGGATGGTGAAGGTCTTGTCCTCCTTGTTCCAGGTGGCGGTTGTTTCAAGTCCTCGAACGTTAGAACCATGGCCAAGCTCAGTCTGAGCATAACATCCGATGATCTCGTAGTTGTTGGCCTTGGTGAGCCACTTTTCCTGCTGCTCCGGCGTACCCTGACCTTCAAGTGTAACCTGCATAGTGAGTAGAAGTCGCGCGGAGACAGAATATGGCGCGTACCTTGAACATAGAGTCGTGGAGTCCGTATGGTCCCGGTTCACCAACGAGCTCTGTAGCAGTCCGGAACTCGTCAAATGACCAGTTGTGTTGCTTTTTCAAGATTCTGAGTCTCTTCTCCCTTGCAAGCGCTCTCTCGAATCTGTCGATCCTTCCCATGAAGTAGTTCTGCGACTTGTCGAAGACCTTCTCTGACTTGAGAATCTCAAGGATCTTGTTTCTCCTGTCGATGACATCTTGCGTGTGTAGGAGGACTTCTAGCTCTTGGACGGGTACATTGGAGTTTTCGCGTTCAGCCTTGAGCAATTCGTGGCCTTGAATGCCCGAAGGCTTCAGCTGCTTGACCCAGTCCGGTGTTGGCTTCATTGTGATAGTAGATTGATGATGGAGATGATGGGAAGAGGGTGTGTTTGGAATGATGATTAAGTAGGATGTCGATCTTGCGCTACCTCGGACAGCCGAGGTTCAAATCTAGACTAAGCCATATTGGGCGATGACTGCGAGATTCGGACCGTGCGACGGCTTATACGTGCGCGTCTGATAGATAATCTCATGAAAGTTCCGAAGCCAATACCCCGGGTCGATGACGAAGGAAGTTGGCGACACGGGGTTCTATCATTTGCGCTGTTGCCCTCGTCGTGGGGCTTTTAGTGCATATTCAAAGAACATTTGGGGTCTCCGGGGTACCGGGGTCCTCCGGGGGCACGCTCGTCTCACAGAAGCAACACTGAGTCAGTGCCATGAGAGTATTTCAGATGTTTAGTGTTGCTGCACTGTATCAAAAGGACCTCGGTAGCCCAGGTCAAGCGTCTTCATCATAGCTTTTCCATGAATAATATATGGGGAGTTTCAGGACCACGTTGCACAGGTATCTTGTGTTCCCAATTACCCACGCAGCTGCTCATATGCAGCCATAACAGGGTGCCGCGTTAGAAAAGGGCCGCGGTTTGGCGGCTCACAGCTCCTGCCTCGCGCTACAGTGGAACGTACATCGCGAGTTTCGGGAGTGTTGTGTAGGAGGAAGCAACACCTTGCGTGCCAATCGGTCGGGTAGTACTAATCCGTCGTAGTGCATCCTCAGAGCCCGACACGGAATCTGGACCCTGGGAATTGTCGCGCCGCAACGCGGCTGAGCAAGTGTTGCCCTTTCTATCGCGTTCACGGGACCAAATTCATGTGCAGCAAAGCAAGTTCTTTCCGAACCGTGCTACTGCATCAAAACCCTGAATGTATGCACGATCTTTGGGGATTCAACCCAGCTGTGTAGATTAGACGGCCCACGTTCAGGGTGCTTGATGCGGGACAGGTACAACTTGAGGAAGAGGGCTTCTTGTATCGAGTGATGGAGCTATGCCCCAGTCAGAAAGGAAGATCAGCTCCAGTGCATCGAGGCCAGGCGGCGGCTGCTGTTGAGACGCTGATAGGGGTGCTCACGGCTTTGTGCGTGGCACGCGAGCTCTTGCACAAGTAAGCAAGCATCTAGGCGCCGGCTGCCTCGCCTTAGCAGAGCACCGCCCGGAAAGATGCACGACCAGGCAGCCATTGGCAAACTGAGCGCGTATTCCAGTCAGGAGGGCGCAATCCACAGCGACAGGAGCTGGTGGGGGAAACGGGACTGCAGAAAATGCGGCGGCGTCATCGTTTCTGGCCTCGACCTAGCCACACCCACTAGCCCGCACGGGCCCGGCCTGACAGGTAGAGCAGCGTCACTCTTTGCCTACAACACCATCCGGCCTGTTTACCCCCGCGAGCTAGAGCACGCAATTCTTTTCTCCTGTCCTCTTCCTAAGGACCTACACGACGCCCACCACACAAGCCCGGCCACTTACCCAGTCGCCCTTGCGCCTAGCCACATCTGAAATCCCCCCACACACCAACAGCGCAGTTTGGAATTCTATGCCCCTAGGGAGACTCGCGATCAACCTCAGACTTCCCCTCGTCTCCTCCCACAGGTCCTTGTAGGCACTGGACAACATGGGTCAGACACTCTCAGAACCCGTCGTCGACAAGGTAATTACCTCCCAATGCTGGCCCCCCGCCCCCGCACCTGCGCTACTCCTCGCTCTATTTGGCGGCAGTCGCCTGCATTGAGCTGCAAGGCCGCGCAGGTTCTCCTTCACATTAACACGACGCTAATACGCTGCTTGCACAGAAATCCGAAAACGGCGATGGCGAGTCACTCATCTACGGCGTGTCGTCGATGCAGGGCTGGCGGATCAGCATGGAGGACGCGCATGCCACCGTACTAGACTTTGCAGGTGAAGCAGGCAAACCCACTGGCAACGACAAGCGACTTGCCTTCTTCGGCGTATACGACGGACACGGTGGTGACAAGGTGGCCTTGTATGCTGGCGAGCAGCTGCACCAGATTGTCGCGAAGCAGGAGGCTTTCAAAGAGGGCGACATCAAGAAGGCTCTACAAGATGGTTTCCTCGCCACAGACCGCGCCATCTTGAGTGGTATGTTTTTCAGGGCACCTTTCTTTAGTTGACAAGTGGCTGACTCACGCGAACAGATCCCAAGTACGAAGAGGAGGTATCTGGCTGCACTGCGTCAGTCGCCGTCCTTTCCAAAGACAAGATCTACGTCGTACGTTGACCCCTATAACATTCCTTGGCCAATTCTCACATCAACAGGCCAACGCAGGTGACTCGCGTACTGTCCTAGGCGTCAAGGGAAGGGCTAAGCCGCTCTCTTTCGACCACAAGCCCCAGAATGAGGGTAAGAAACATAGATTACAAAGGCAAGCAGCACTGACATCTATTAGCTGAGAAGGCACGTATCCAAGCCGCAGGTGGTTTCGTCGACTTTGGCCGTGTCAACGGCAACCTGGCTCTATCGCGCGCGATAGGTGACTTCG